GGGGCACGGGCGGAAGCAGTTCGGGGGCTTTGAGAGAAATTCTAGAGATAGACCATGACGTATGGTGTTCCTGACCCATACGTCCGTGGTGGTCTCTTCCCACTGGGGAGCAAACCCTGCTAGTCTGCCCCCTATGGGAAGGTCTGGGTGGAAGTCATCTGGTACGGCGGAAGGGGCGGTTGTTAACCCGAAAGGGCCGTCTTCCCTGCGTTTGCCTATGTCTTGTATTCTGTCTGTCCCCCTGTCTTTCCCTATCCTTGGGAATTTTGAAAGTAGTTGACCCTAGCTTCCGTACGAAAGGATTGTTTCCTTCCCCAGGAGCCGGGTCTCTTGTCCTGCCTTTTAAGCATGTGTTTAAGGACCTTGCGCTTGTCCTTGTTCTCTGTCAGGTATGGCGTTAGTGCCTCACCAAACAGCTTTGCCCCTTGGTACGGAGCCGAAGCCAATTTCCACTTGGATTTGGTATCCGCCTGCCAGTTCTTTAGCCAGAGGATGCGCCTGCTCGTGTTGTTTGCCGCCATTGCCTTGGCTGAAAACCTGGTCGCTAAAAGTGTTGCGTCCGACGCATATTCCGTGGCCGCTACCATTTTGCTGAGTTCCTGGTGAGTGCGTATATCCTCCATGGGAACCCGGCCCTGTAACTCACGGAGCCAACAAAGTGTGGCTCTGGTGAAAAAGGACGCGGAGGTAGTCGCCCTGGTAGCCCAAGCTATTGCCTGGTGCGTTCTCCTGTAGTTGGACTCACTCTTTCGGTCCTCGGCTTTAAGAGCCTCAGCAAAATCTCCTGATATGGCCGTGTCCGATATCAGGGGACCTATGGGTTCGTCCACCACCGGCACCTCCAATGTTCCCTCTAGCTCCCTTGCTACGTTAAATAGCTTCCTCTCCGCATTGCTAGGAAGCGGTAGGGAGGTTGGCGCTGCCCACTGTTTCCTTATTGTGTTTAGGAACATGGTCGGGCATGGTATGCGGTGTTGAGTGGTTACCTTTTCGGCGAACGTCGGCTCAGCCTCCGTGTCAACTGTGACAGGCTCCGCTGGTGTCCCATGCCCCAGATGGGCTGTGGCCTCAGCCTTGCGCAGAATGGTAACAAAAAGAGAAGGGTTAAACAGGCCGCTGAAGGACGGCCCTTGAGGTGAGGTGTCCTCCTCTTCCTCAGACATTTGAATCCCTTGTGACGTACCTGGCTGGTCCAGGTAAGCTTCCTCAGAGACCGACGAGTCTGAGAAGGAGGAGAGGTCCTGATGGTCCTCCATTTCCTCCCGATGCCTCGTTCTAAGTCCTAGAGGCTTGGCTTTGGAAGTTTGAGCCCTGGCCTCAAATGCACGGTCCACTGCCTGTGCTATTAGGGTAGCTAGCAGATCCCCCGTCAATGCAGGAGGAGTAACCATTGCCTGCGACCCTGCAGGTGCTGTGGTTAGCATGGTCCTCGGGGTTTCCTGTAACCTCCGTGGGGAGGGGGATCGGGAGAGCGATGAGAATTCGCCTATCCCACCCTCTGTTTGGGACTGTGATGAGTTCCCTAATGACCAAATGGCCCGTGGGGATGAAGGGAGACCCAGCGGTAGATCAGGACCTATCCCCCCATTCTGCCTATTTTCAATTCTGGCCCTTTTCTGGGCTCTGTCGAACTCTTTTTCTAGGGCTTGGTGTCTTCTGATTGCCTGTTTGTCAGCCTTCTTTGATGACTTCCTTGCAGCCTTTCTAGGGGCTGCAGAGGATTCCGAATCCTCTGAAGCGGGTGCTCCAGAGGATGAAGGCGGGGCTCCAGTGGAGGGAATGATTGCTTCCTCCATTCTCCACTAACGCCGGGCCGCGATAGGGGGGACCCAGGTAGTAGGAGAGCTCCAACTTTGAGTAAGGACAGGCGCACTACTGGGGGCGTCTGGAACTCAGGAGCAGACTCTGCAAAATTGTCAGAGTTAGTCACTGTGCATGGATAAGAACAGGCACACTAATGGGAATGCCTGGAACTCGGCTTGACTATGGTGGATAAGGACAGGCACGCGACTGGGGATGCCTGGAACCCACCACTAAATCCAGAAGCGTACGGGCCACTAATGGGGGACCCGAAGTCCGGAAGGAGCCAAAGGCAACTAAACACAGTTAGTTATGAAAGGTTCTTATTTACTTTAGATTGAAGACACCAAGTCCTGGAACCAGCAGCTATGTGTCTGATTTGAATGTCTCTGAATGAATAATAGATGCTTTAGTACCCCAGTACTGCTTGCCTATTAATTCACTCCAGCGGCTGAACCTAGGCTTCTCAGGGAGCCTTAGATCCCGTTTGGACAAAAATATGGCCGCCGCTGCCAGGAGACTACTGCGCATGTGTTAAAAGGAGCAGGAGATTATTGCGCCTGTGCTAAAAAGGCTGCCTGTGCCACGTGCGGTTGTAACAAAGAGCCGCGCGTGCTCCCAGCTGTGCAGACAATGGCGCCTCGTTTAAAAATCCTGAGCAGCCTGGTGAGTGAAAGAGACTGCTCCTTCGCACGCCAGCTGTTTCCCTTAATCAATCTCCCTCCCAGCATGTGTCCCCTTTGTCCTCCGCTCCCCTCGCTAATTGCTTGCCTTTCTGTCTTTCTTTCTTTCTTTTTAACGCGAGGGGTTGCACGAGCCTCCCCGTTTGTTTAAGGCGGCTGCCGGCTGCGGGTGGGAAGGTGGTTGGGGTTTGGGTTAGGGAGGGGAGTTAGGGATTTCCCCCTTTTAAGTGAGGGTGGTTTCCCCTGTAGGGAATCTGACTTCCTGAGTCTTACAATTTAGCCAGGAAATTTTTGAGTAATCAATTAAATTGAATTAAATTATCTCTAATTAACTTTTAAACTAAGCAATTTCAGCTACTAGAAGAAAATCCCCCCCAATGGAAAGGAACTATACCTGCCCAGGAGCCAAAGTTGTATGTCTTTCTGTGTGGCTAGATTAGTCAAGACTGGAGAATCATGGTCCAGGACAGGGCGTGGCAACTTTGGCTGACTGATCTGATTGGCCAGGAATACAGTCTCAACCCACTGCGTGGATTATCCATCTCCAGTGCTGGAGAAAAATTAAGTTTATTCACCAGCTTTGCAAGACAGAGGCCAGCAAAATTTGCTCTCTATTACTTTAGAGAGTCATGTGAGGGAGGTGCTGGTTTGTATGGGAACCTCTGATGGTGGGTATTCATGGTATTTCATAAATAATATGTAATCATCTGGTCCCAATCTAGCACTGAAGTCTCCCCTGTAGTGGGATCCTGGCATTCAATGAGGAGTTTACTAACCTAGTGTTCCAACTCCATCCATACAGCAGGGGTTTCAGTTTTTGTTAGCAATGGAAGGAGATAAACATTAATTATTAAAAGCAGGACCGAGTCCAACTTGAGGAGAAGGACCATTGCCATATATTTTAAAGGGGCAATAAGTGTGGGCTCTGCTCACAAGTTGGTAGGAATAAATATACCCAGCCCTCCTTTCAGTCTCCCTGGGCCTCTGCCTGGCCTTGCTTCTAGCTTATACGAATAATAGCCATTAAGCAGGAGATCATCAACAATCCAACTCTCTGGCACCAAAATGATATCCTTATCTATCACAGGATCAGAGTAATTAAGGCCTCTAAATCGATACCTCCCCAGCAATAATTCCATGCCATAATGTTTAAAGTGTTTTTCCTGCACTGGTCTTCATATTGTCAGTTCATGTTCTCAGTAGGGGCACTTGTTGGAAGATAGTTATGATGTGTGATGTTGTCATCAGAAGCTAGATACTGTTTGTTATTAGATGCATTTGACCAAGAATTAGGCATGTTTTGCGAGACTCTGGGATCATCATCAGCAACAGCAAAGGTAGCCTCAGCATTTGTGTGGGGCACTGAGGCATGCCTCAGTCTGACTGAATGCCAGCTGATAGCTGGATCAAAGAGTCTTCATTTTTAGTAATTATCTCAACAGAACTCTCAGCTAGAACCCATGCAGATTTATGGCCATTTTGGGGGGCATGCAGTTGAGGGTTCATCTTGTGAGAAGATGTTAAGGGCACCTCTGGCTCAAGTGAAGGTGGAAGATGGATTATATCTTTAGAGTCTACATACTTAGGGGCGCTGTGCAATAAAACAATTTGAGTTATTCTTACTTAAAATGAATGATTCTCTCAATGAAATAGTTTTGTATGCCAGAATTCTAGTACTGACTACTGTTGAAAGATTAAATAAATTTGTCAATAATGCATGTAAACAATAGCAAGAGACGCAATAATTTTGTTTGTTTAATGAATTAAAATATTCTCCAATCTATTTGATGGTAAAAGGAACGAAAGAGGGATTAAAACCATCATTACTTGCACATTTTAAATCATATATAAATAGCTGATATTTCTTGTATTTGAAAAATGCTATTAGCATTCATTTTAAACATGTATGTTAAAGCAGAGGTCCCCAACCTAAGGGCCGCAGCCCACTACCGGACCGTGGCCTCTTGGCCACGTGAGTAGCTGGGCAGTGCATGTGTGCGCGTGCTCACCCCCCCATGCCACCACTGCCATGAGTGTTGTGCAGACGGCGGCAGCACCACTAGTATCACGTGGGCAGCAGCATTGCAATGAATTTTATGCGGGCAGCGGCAATGCCACAAGCATCAGGCAGGCCTCAGCACAATCCTTGTGTGGGAGCAGTGGCGCGATCCTTGTGCCAGTAGAGGCATCAGTGTGGGCTATGGCGCGAACTTCACACAGGGATGGTGGCGTGATGCTCACACCAGTGGTAACATTGCTGTGAGCCTAGTGCCGTCGGCACCACAAGCCTCACATGGGGCCGGCAATACTGAGAGCCTCACCCACATGCTTGCAGCCCTATTTGCATTGTGTGCGTGTTTGTGGCATTTGTGCGCACATACACGTGTGGCCACATTCACATTTGTGCATGGGCGCATAAGGTGGCTGCCCCTCACTCTCCCACCAGGCCGCCAACCCAGAAAGTTTGGGGACTCTGTGTTAAAGCATATAATTAAGTAATTCAAAAATGTCACCCACCTGAAAATTTTACCATTTTGTTTGGTGATGGTAAGAAAGCGAAGGTATTAAAGGCATTGTTCTCACAGTTGTCCTTTGCAAGCTCCAACTTGGTCTGTTCTTTCTGATAATCAGGGAAAAACATGTTATCAATAACACAGCAATAAAGACACTATGAACTTTTCATATCTAGAAAAGATACCTATGGTCTTTGTTTAGCAACCATGACTGAGACACACTTTTCTTATACTCATCACTTTCATCACTGTTATAACTGTCAACGATTACTAACCAATGCAGTATCTAAATAAAGACTACCTATAGTATTGTGATCATACAGAGGTTATCATGGTTGTCTTATGAGGCAATATTTATATTTTCAACACCGCAGATCTAATCAAACTATCATGAGATTGAAAATGTCTGCCCTCGGATACTGGAATATTTCTGTAGCAGGTTTTGAGTTACAGTGAGGAAAAAAATTATTTGATCCCCTGCTGATTTTGTACGTTTGTCCACTGACAAAGAAATGATCGGTCTATAATTTTAATGGTAGTTTTATTTTAACAGTGAGAGACAGAATAACAACAAAAATCTAGAAAAACGCATTTCAAAAAAGTTATAAATTGATCTGCATTTTAATGAATGAAAGAAGTATTTGACCTCTTCGCAAAACATGACTTAGTATTTGGTGGCAAAATTCTTGTTGGCAATAATTGAAATCAGACATTTCTTGTAGTTGGCCACCAGGTTTGGACACATCTCAGGAGAGATATTGTCCACTACTCTTTGCAGATCCTCTCCAAGTCATTAAGGTTTCAAGGCTGATGTTTGGCAGCTCAAACCTTCAGCTCCCTCCACAGATTTTCTATGGGATTAATGTCTGGAGACTGGCTAGGCCACTCCAGCATCTTAATGTGTTTCTTTTTTAAAAAAAAGTTTTATTAGTTTATAATATACAATACAATAGAAATACAAAAGCAAATAGCAGAAAAGATGGGGAAGAGAAAGGAGAGTAGAGAAGTGAGGCAAGGGAGAGAAAAAAAGCACTGACTTCCAACTTCCTTTGGTGCAATACAGTATCAACTTCAAACCTCAACTTTTTACTTTTGCAAAATTTTATAAACTAGCCATTTCAACAACATCAAATCTATCTAATTGATAAAGCCCAAAATCAAAATTTCACTTTTGTCCATGGCATTGGCCATGTGTTTTGGGTCATTGCCATGCTGGAATACCCATCTACAACCCATTTTCAATGCCCAGGATGAGGGAAAGAGGTTCTCACCCAAGATTTGACGGTACATGGCCCAATCCATCGTCCCTTTGATGCAGTGAAGTTGTCCTGTCCCCTTAGCAGAAAAACACCTCCAAAGCATAATGTTTCCACCTCCAGGTTTGACAGTGGGGATGGTGTTCTTGGGGTCATAGGCAGCATTCCACTTTCTCTAAACATGGCGAGTTGAGTTGATGCCAAAAAGCTCGATCTTGGTCTCATCTGACCACAACACTTTCACCCAGTTCTTCTCTGAATCATTCAGATGTTCACTGGCAAACTTCAGATGTGACTGTACATGTGCTTTCTTGAGCAGTGGGATCTTGCGGGCACTGCAGTTTCAGTCCTTCACTGCATAGTGTGTTACCAATTGTTTTCTTGGTGACTGTGTCCCAGCTGCCTTAAGACGATTGACAAGATCTTCCCGTGTACTTCTGGGCTGATTCCTCACTGTTCTCATGATCATTGAAACTCCACGAGGTGAGAACTTGCATGGAGCCACAGACTAAGGGAGATTGACAGTTATTTTGTGTTTCTTCCATTTGCGAATAATCACACCAACTGTTGTCACTTTCTTACCAAGCTGCTTGGCGATAGTCTTGTTGCACATTCCAGCCTTGTGTAGGTCTACAATCTTGTCCCTGATATCCTTGGCCAGCTCTTTGATCTTAGCCATGGTGAAGAGTTTGAAATGTCATTGATTTCTTCTGTAGACAGGTGTCTTTTATACAGATAACAAGCTGAGATTAAGAGCACTCCCTTTAACAGCTCAGCTTGTTACCTGTATAAGACACTTGGGACCCAGAAATCTTGCTGATTGATAGATCAAATACTTATTTTACTAATTAAAATGCAAATCAATTTATAACTTTTTTGAAATGTGTTTTTCTGGATTTTTTGTTGTTATTCTGTGTCTCACTGTTAAAATAAACCTACCATTAAAATTATAGACTTACCATTTCTTTGTCAGTGGGCAAATGTACAAAATCAGCAGGGGATCAAATATTTTTTTTCCTCATTATATGAGTCTATGAAAACAATTGGACCTATAAGAATGCTGGGCTATAACTGGGAAATTCTACATCTCCTAGCTTAACCCAGGTGACTTTGCCTATTCTCCCCATATCCATGAACAACAGTAGAATTGCTGATTAACATAAAAAAACTCTAACTGAGCTGCAGAGAATTCAGGAGAAAGTCTTGAAAACATAGATTATAAGCATTTCTTACAACACAGGAATCTCAAGAAGATGGAACTCCAAATTAGACATCATAAAAATAATACTAGCCTGTTGCTTAAAGCTTCTGCAAAAGTACTTATGAAGCTTATAGGGCTTAGTTAACTACAGTTGAACAATATCTTCTTAAGATTTCCTTAAGACAAGATCTATTCCACTGTGATTTCACATCCTCTAATTAAATCAGCAGTTAATCCATTAGAACATGATAATATTTTTCCAAGTTTTTACAGGATAGTCCTCAACTTACAACAGTTTATTAGTGACTGTTCGAAGTTATAACAGAACTGAAAAAGTGACCTGACCATTTTTCACTTATGACTGTTATAGCATCCTCATGGTCATGTGATCCAAATTCAGGCACTTAACAACTGACTTATATTTATGACAGTTGTAGCTTCCCAGAATTGAGTCGTCACCTTTTGTGACCTTCTGACAAGCAGTCAATGGGGAAGCTAGATTCACTTAACAACCATGTTATTAACTTAACAACTGCTGTAATTCATTTAATTATTGTGATAAGAAAGATCGTAAAATGGAGCAAAACTCACTTAACAAATATGTCATTTAGCAGAAGAAATTTTGAGTTCAAGTATGGTCATAAGTCGAGAACTACCTGCATATGCTACTTGATATAAATATAAGTTCCTTTCTGCCTCAGCTATCCCACAGGAAAGATCAGTATCTTGACAGATATCTATGAACTGCTGGTATCATCATCAATCTCTGCTGCTTTAGCATTTTACCATTTTATTGAGATTTAGAAATATGATGATAGGAAACATTTTATTCAATAATAATAATAATAATAATAATAAAAGTTGGAAGGGACCTTGGAGGTCATCTAGTCCAGTGGTTCTCAAACTTTTTAATGCCGCGACCCCCAACCGGTCGTAAGTCGAGGACTACCCAACCGGTCATAAGTTGAGGACTACCCAACCAGTCGTAAGTCGAGGACTTTCCCTGCCCGGGAGCACTGCACATGCGTGGTGCTGTCCCCTGCGCCGACGTAGCTGGCAAGCAGCAGAGATGGAGCAGGCCGACCACCAGCTGGGCCACCAGCTGGCCCAGCCCAAGGGAGGTTGGGCTGGGCCAGCTGCGTGCCAGCAACCCTCCCTGCGCCCGCCGGCCTCCCATCTCCCACCCCTGGCCTTACATTTTTAGTAGTTGCTCAACAGGGAGGGGTGGAAACTTCCAGAGAGCTCACCTTCGCTGCAGACAACTTGCAGCACCATTTGCAGAATGGGACTTTTGGCAGGCTCAGCAGGGCAGAGACAGCCTGAACAATTCCTATTGGCTTTTGAAAGCCAACAGAATTAGACTCTATTCAAGAGAGTCTATTCTATGGCTTTCAAAAGCCAATAGAATAAAAGGGAGTAGCACAGCTAAGGAAAAGGGGGGAAAATGGCGGACTGCTTTGTTTGGCAACCTCCGTGAAATGGTCATTCGACCCCAAATGGGGTCCCGACCCACAGGCTGAGAACCGCTGATCTAGTCCAACCCCCTGCTCAGGCAGGAAACCCTATACCATTTCGGACAAATGGCTGTCCAGTCTCTTCTTAAAAACCCCCAGTGTTGGAGCATTCACCACTTCTGGAGGCAGATTGTTCCACTGGTTAATTGTTCTAACTGTCAGGAAGTTTCTCCTTAGTTCTAGATTGCTTTTCTCCTTGATTAGTTTCCATCCGTTGCTTCTTGTCCTGCCTTCAGGCGCTTTGGAAAATAGTTTGACTCCCTCTTCTTTGTGGCAGCCTTTGAGATGTTGGAACACTGCTATTATGTCCCCCCTTGTCCTTATCTTCATTAAACTAGACATACCCAATTCCAGCAAGCGTTCCTTATATGTTTTAGACTCCAGTCCCCTAATAACTTTGTACTTTGCTATATGCCTTCTGGCATTTCTACTGTGCCATATAGCCTTCTTCTTCTTCTTGTGCCATATCTGTTATTGGACATTGGCGATCTTGTTGTTATCAACAGCCGCACAAAAAAGTGCTGCTGAGTTTTGTTCAAACCAATCCCTTAGATTATGAAGCCATGATGTTCTTGTTCTGCCTGGACCTTGTTTGCCTTCAATCTTTCCCTGGAGGATTAAATGAAGCATGCCGTATTTTTCTGGGTGTCGCATCACATGTCCAAAATATTCTTTCATTTTTTTAATTGTTTTGATGATTTCCCTTGGCTTTCCCAGGCAGCTTATCCCTCATTTCTGATCTTGTCAACCCAGCTTATATGTAACAGCCACCTGTAAATCCACATTTCAAATGCTTCTAGTCTCTTCAAGTGGCCTTCTGTCAGAGACCAACTCTCTACTCCATAAAGCAGGATAGAAAAAATATAACATCTGACAAGCCTGATTTTCAATCTTAGGCTTATATTGTGACTGCAGAAGATATTTTTCATTTTGAAGAATGCTTTCGAGCTTTCTCTATCCTTGTCTTTACTTTAGTGGTCATGTCCCAGCTTTCATGTAAATTAGAACTGAGGTGCGTGATCCTTTCAACTTTTTCTAATGGTATTCCTTCCGAAAATATGTTTGTTGACGACCATGATCTTGGTTTTTGAGGTGTTAAGTTTCAAGCCATATTTTTCAGATATTTCTGTGACTCTGTTGATGAAGAGCTAAAGGTCTTCATGCTTACTGGCAAGCAGAACTGTATCATCAGCATATCTTAAATTGTTGATTCAAACACCGTTTACTTTGATGCCAACCTCGATGTTCTCCAGTGCCTCGTTGAAGATTGACTCAGAGTAGATATTGAACAACAGTGAAGACAGACTACATCCCTGTCTGACCCCTCTTCGTATTTCTGCATCAGATGAATATTTTTGACTTAGTCTCACATTTGCTACCTGATGCCAATATAGATTCTTTATGATTTGGATGTCTTTGTCTAGTCCCCCTTGTTTCAGGATTTCTAATAGTTTGCTGTGTCTTTGTGTGTGTGTGTGTGTGTGTGTCTTACAAATATAGCCTTACAACTTTTCAAACTGACCCTGTCTTCTATAGCATCTGTCCTAGTTCCATTGTTCAACGTTAGAAAGAACAGGTAGTTTGCTACAGTCTTTATAGTTGAAGACATGTCATCAAATACCATTTGGATGGCCTCACAATATTGATTGCTTTGGAGAAAAAAAAAGAGTTCAAAATCATTGGATCATATTGTGGCTATGCAAGTCAAAGAATAATGCTAAGTGCAAGCAACAGGTCTCCCTATTTCCTCCATTACATGCCTACATGATCCATAATGGGGGAAATGAGCAAAAGAAGAGATAAAAGGAAAAACGATTTTAAAGAAATATTAGATATGATGATCACTCAAATGGGAGAAACTTAGTATAGCATTTTAGCCCTATTTACTGATCCAAGGACAGAAATATTTCCACTCCCATCATGAATCACAATGCCTTCCCAACCCTATTGCAAATATCTCTAAAGTGATTGGGGGAGGGGAAATTTTTGAAATATGTTACAAAAACTAATAGATGGCAAAAGGAATCTTGCTAAATAATTTTAAAGCAGCAGTAGGTCCAACAGAAGTAATAAAAGCAGTCAAATACAAATAAAGATATAAATTCTAATCCAATCTGGGTTGGTCACCAGGACCAGAGGTTTAATCTTCCAAGCTTTCAGACTCATGCTGGAGCCTCTCCTCAGGGAATGTCTCTCTACTAGAATATATGTTTTGGGCTATTCTATGAGTTATATTTATGTGGTGCCTTCCTACTGGTTGATTGGTGTATTGATGGCCAGTGATTGCCTGTTGCTTCCTTGTATTGCCAAGTCCTTGGCTACTAAGTACATGATCAGCACTTCTTTTGATTGACAAGGGGCCCGTTTCCCAGGCTTCAATCATTTCCTTGGCATTTTTTGTATCTGCACAGCCAACAATCTCAGTAGCTGCAAAATTGAATGTATGTTCTTGTTTCTTACAATGTGAGACTACCAATGAGTTTGGGTTTTCTCGTCTGACCACTCGCTTATGTTCTTGCAAGCTTGCTCCCTGTCAGTCCTACATAATCACAGGGGCAATCCATGCAGGGAACCCGATAAATTCTAATATCATATTATGTACAACTGCTTTGCTTCACATACAAAAAAAATGAAATGCTTTATTAATAAGTTAAAAAACTTACTTCTTTCTTATGGCATGGAACTTGATTCAAATTAGGGCTTGAGCCACATGATACTGGAGAGAAACATTCTATAAATTCCTTGGTACAGGCTACAATGAAAAAAAAAGTACTCTGTTAAGAGGAAAGGTATAATGCTATATATTGTGCTCTTTTAGAGAGCCAGGTAAAATTTATTCCACTAAAATTATCCCCAATTATGTTCTCTTAAGACCCAGAAGTGAAAACTTTCAATAAAGTAAGATTGCCCAAGAATCAAATGAAGTTTGAGTTAGTTTGGGGTAGTAGTTAATGCACAGGCTAGAAACTATAAAAACATGTCTTAGGCCCAAAACCAGCTAAGTGACTTTGGGGCAGTCGCTTTTTCTCAGCCCTAGAAAGGAGGAGATGGCAAATCACTTCTGAAAAATCTTGCCAAGAAAACTGTGGGGACTAGTCCAGACAATTGCCAGAAGTCAAAACAGACTCAAAGACACACACCAAAAATGAGCTTACTGACAAATTTTGAACAAAGTTACAACTTCCCACCAATTTGGGAATGGCTTTGATCTAAAGATATAAGTCAACTTCATATAAAAATTGGACAATTTAATTTTTCAAATCTAGTTTTGTAAAAGCTCAGGGACTTTGCAGAGATTAATTTGGCAGCAATTCTCTTCAGAGAATTTGTAAAACAGCATTTTCTTCTGTCATATTGGCTTGATAGCTATCTGAAGAAGACTAGATCATTGTTCTTAATGGCAAGAAACCAGCAAGCTGTATCCCATTGTTCAGCTAATCAACTAGCCCACAGGAAAAAATACTAAACTTTTCCAACTTCCAAAGGAAAATAGAAGACCAAGGACAGCTCACGATCAGTACAGAGCCAACATTTGCAGCATTTAGAAGGGAACAGAAGCCAATTGGCTGTTACCATCCTTTCTGGATCAAACAAAGAGACAAGACATTGCCCAAGCAAATTCTCCTAATGGCTATTCCTCTTCTTCATAAAGAAACATGATACAGAGATCTCTGAATGGGAGTGGAAATCAGGAGATGTGGGAAACTGCCATATTTGCACCAGTTACAAACAGAACCTTTTAAAGGATATTAAGTTTATATACTTCCCTTGTTAATTTCAGAAATTGCCTCTTTCTAAAAAGTCAGATGCCTGCAGAATGTCAAAGCCTAAAATACTGGTGTATGTTTTCAACCCTTAACATAAGCTTTTCAAGGCATCAGAAAATGTTGACATTTTGGACTTTGAATATTAAAACTTTGACATTGTTTCTTAAAGAATAAATGTATGCTTGCAGGAAAGAAAAATTGTTTTTGAGACTAGAATCAGAATAAGACAAGCAATTTATAATGGCATTTAGAGACATTTGAGGAAGTGAGCAGGGTCTGCATCAATTATAGCTATGTCTTAGATGTTATAGATGTCCCATAGATGTTATAGAACAGTGGTTCTCAACCTGTGGGTCGGTACCCCATTTGGGGTCAAACGACCATTTCACGGGGGTCGCCAAACAAGGCTGTCCGCCATTTTTCCCCTTTTCTTTGGCCACGCCCCTGGCACCTGGTGATGTATAAGTGGTTGGGGGGTCACCACAACATGGGGAACTGTATTATGGGGTCGTGGCATTAGAAAGATTGAGAACCACTGTTATAAACAAGATAGGCAGGAAAATCTCCTTGAAGAAAATATAAGACTGAATAAGAAAATTCAGATGTAAAGAAAAAACTGGATGAGATTTCAAAAATTAAAAAGGAAATAATAATTTCCTTTTATTTAGAAAAAAAGACTTTTATAATGATTGGTCCATTAGTGGGGGAAAGTGGCAAGAAGGTGACAAACAACAGGGAGAAAGCAGAACTATTTAACTCGGTTTTTGCATCTGTCTTTACACAAAGGTAAAAAACAGTCCAACCCATCAAAAACAGTACCATAAAAAACAGATTAGAAACACAAGTTAAGATAGGCAAGAAAATGATAAGTGAGCACCTGTCCAGCCTAGACGAGTTCAAATCATCAGAACCAAATGAATTAAACCCCAAGGTTCTCAAGGAACGGGCAGATGTGATCTCAGAATTACTGAACTATATTTTTCAAAGATCCTGGAACACTGGGGAACTACCAGAGGACTGGAAAAGAGCTGATGTAGTTCCCATCTTCAAAAAAGGGAAAAAAATAGATCCAGGAAACTACAGACTTATCAGCCTGATCTCAATACCTGGGAAGATTCTGGAAAAGATAATCAAACAACGAATCAATGAACACCTAGAGGCAAATAAAGTCATTAATAAAAGCCAACATGGATTTGTCAAAAACAGATCATGCCAGACAAATCTTATCACATTCTTTGACTAAGTGACAAAATTAGTGGACCAGAGGAATACTGTGGATATAATTTATTTGGACTTCAGTAAGGCATTTGATAAAGTAGATCACAACCTACTACTTGATAAGATAGAAAAATGTGGGTTAGACAGCATCACCACCAGATAGATTCGTAGCTGACAGACCGGCCATACTCAGCGTGTAGTCCTCAATGGAACTGCATCTACATGGAGGGAAGTGTGTAGTGGGGTGCCCCAGGGCTCTTCAATATCTTCATCAATGATTTGGACAAGGGGATAGATGGGGAACTCATCAAATTTGCAGACGACATCAAGCTGGCAGGAATAGCCAACACTCCAGAAAATAGGCTTAAAAGACAGGAGGATCTGGATAGATTTGAACATTGGGCACTATCTAACAAAATGAAATTCAATGGTGAACAAGTAAGGTTCTAATTTAGGCAAGAAAAACCAAATGTACAGATATCGTATAGGTGGTTCCTTGTTCAAGAGTAGTAACTGTGAGAGGGATCTTGGAGTCCTAGTGGACAATCACTTAAATATGAGCCAGCAGTTATTGCAGCTGTCAAAAAAGTCAGCACAGTGCTAGGCTGCATTAACAGAGGATAGAATGAAGATCACGTGAAGTCTTAATACCACTTTACAATGGTAATGCCACACATGGAATAGTGCATCCAGTTCTGGTCACCAAGATGTAAAAAAGAAAAATGTGTTTTTTACATCTTGGGTTTCTTATATTTAATATGGTGTAAAACTGTTTTCCCCTAGAGCCACTTTCTATGGTCTTAACTTTACAGTACTTAAACTGGCTTTGCATTTCATTAGGCTTTTATTAACTCAAAGTAAGAAAGTTTAGAGAATGTTTTTTAAAGAGAAATTATTCTTTGTCATGTTAAATGTTAGTCTTTTATTTATAGTAGGATACTGGGATTATAATATATTTGTGAAATGGGGATATTTATGGGTGAAAGTAGAGATACAGAATGCATATATGAATACGATAAATTGTTATTTGGAACATTAAATACTGGAGTTCGTCTTTTGTAATGGAGAAATGGTTTCTATTTGTCATGTTACCATGGGGTTTTAATTGTTAGGATATTGAGACCATTTAATGCCTTTTAAATGGGATTTACTATAGATAATAGATGTGGAATGTTGCATTTTATATATGTTAATTAATATTAACATTTTAGAGCTTTCAATTTTTTGCTGGTAACTAGATTGAAAACAATGGTACTTACTTGATTTCTCTTTTATGAAGAAATGGGTATGGGGTGAAGAGTTTATATTTCTTAACTAAGAGCAGATGAATACATTGTGCAATTGCTTATATTTGCTATCTTGATGGTGGAAAGTTGTTTCATACTTTTTTCTTGATTTTTTTTGTTGCATTTTAATAAAATTATTAAAAAAAGAATCCTGTTGAACTTTCCCATGTTACTTGGACTTGTACCTTTTCCAGTCAAGTGCCATATTTAAATTGTGCAGCAGTCTAAGCAACACTTATGGATCTTAAATGGGGCTATCCAAAACATCTTAAAGTCAAAACTGGACTTTAAGCAGATTGTTCAACCTATTACAACCCATCTGAACTTCAAACATTGCAAGCTTGAAATATTTTGTACACCTTTATTCACATAGTCTTAACTACAGAAAATTACTTCCATTCACCCATGATTCTAATTGAAATAATATCAGTTATAACATTGTGATAGGACCATAGTTCAGATAAGATAATTTTCTCAATAATTTTCTCTTCATTTCATTAAAATACTTTACATTCATCCATTGAACTTACGTTCAAAACAGTCTTGAACACATTCCAATACATTTTCTCTTTGTATATCAGTAGCACTTTTTTTACTGGCATAGAAAAAAAAAAATAAAGTTACTCATTTGTAAAGTATTTCCAATTTGCAAACTCTATATTATTGGCAAAAAATAGGTCAAGCTATAGTACAGCATTGCAGCAAATTAACTCATCCTGGATAAATGACTGTCCAGTTTCTTCTCGAAAACCTCCAATGATGGAGCACTCTCAACTATGGGAAGCAAGTTATTCCAGTAGTTAAGTGCTCTCACTGTCAGGAAATTTCTCCTTACTTCCAGGTTAGATCTCTCATTGAGAGATTCCAGAGCTTGTCCTACTTTAAGATGTGTTGGAGAATAAGTAAACTTCCACATCTCTATGACTTTCTCTCAAGTAATGGAAGACAGCTACTATGTCACTCTAATCCTTCAATTTGTTAGGCTAGACATACTTAGTTCCCTAACTGTTCATCATAAAATGTAGCCTCCAGATGACTTATCATTCCTATAAATATAGGATACAGGATACATGTATGTATTACAATCTACCTAAGAGATAAAAGATAGATAATCATCATGATTAAAACTGTAAAGTGATGTGCACATTGAGAGTAATTTTATCTTTTTTTTTTAACCACTGATATTTACAGATAGTCCTCAACATACAATTGGCAGTAATGGGCATCTGAAGTTATGGTAGTTCCAAAACTACTTATGACCCAGTCTTGAAGTTATGGTCACTACAGCACCCCATATTCATTCACCTTTACAACCAACAGCAGGGATGCTGCAATGACCCCTACTTATCTTCCCACCACCTATCCAACTGAGTCCCTACAAGCATCCTTCCTCTAATGGCTCTCTTCTGGCTTTAGATCTGGTTCCCAACCCAGCAGTCCCACATACTCATCATCTGTTGAACAGTTCTGCAGCCTTCCATAGTGCTGGAATGAGTTAGGTTTTTGCTTGGCTGCATGGTACGATTCTGGAATTGCACTGCATGGGCAAGGGACAAGTCACTCCATTTTGCCTCCTTAACAAGATTTCACAGTACTATGGAAAGCTGCAGAAGGCTTTTGCATTACTATGCAAATCACATTAAGGCAAAAAAACAGAAGGATTTGAACCTGGCGGCAACCCAGAAATGGCCACCATTTTACCAGAGGACAAACTGCTTTGTTTTGCTGCCTTAACAAGGCTGAGCATCGTGACAGAAAGCTTCTGAAAAATGCAGTGCTCTTTTTAATTATATCGACTGCATTGGGAAAGCAATGATCGGGAGATTGTTAAGTGAGATGCTTCACTTAACAGCCATCACAACACGCAACTATAATGGGTAGACTCCTTTATGGTCATATCTCAAGGACTACCTTTATATGTCATGTTACAAAGTTTTTATAAGAATCTGCTTTATTTCAAAAACAGCCTACTATTTATTGTGATAGAATTCACATTAAAAATGGCCAAAGGTATTAAACCTAGAAGTTTAGAAGCATCTGCATATTTCTTTTAATTTTATCAGTATAAAATACTTCACTATGATACATTGTTTCATATTTTAATAAACCTCAGTTTTATCTATTTCAATATAGTTTAGGAAATAAACATTAATTACCTTACTCCGTTGAAGAATCTTAGCCTATACATGGTCTTTAAATGATTCTGTTAAAAAGAGAAAATATAATGCTTTTTGAAAAGAAAAATAAATTGGAAGTTCAATATAGCACAGTAGGATTACAGATTAATCTGGATAACCACATATTACTTTAATATCAGGAAGGAGCTTTCATTTTCTACTGATAAATAATTTGTACACAATTATTCCTCTTATAACCTATAATTTTCAATTACTTGCCAATTAGAGTTATGTATATCCATCACCCACTAAATATAATTTATAATTGAGATTAGCTATTTTCATTAGAAGGTGGATTAGTGATGATGACATTTCAAAAACTCTTTAATCTGCAACTTCTAAAAGTTGTGGCAAAAATAGTGAACTGTCCTATGCCACCTTAGACTACAAAACTATACACTTGCTCATCCCATCAATATGATATATATGCAATCAATACGACATATATCATCTTCTATTAATAACATCCCACTATTTTTTACATTAAAGAAGCACACAGTATTCATCCTTAGGAAAGTTGTTCTGAAATGAAATTCTTCTAAATATATTAGCAACCTTACACAGTATAATGTATTAAGGAGACAATAAAATTACATTGTTAAGCTATTATGTATTTAATGTATTTGTTATTTTTGTTTAATAGAGCACAAAAAGTTGTACAAGATGGCCAAGTTTTGTTTCTCTCAACAAAATATTGCCAGAGATATTATGTCTCAAAGTTGCTGGAACCTCAGAGTCATACTGTAGAAGGCTACAGTATGACATCAAACAAATGACTATATCTCAGCAAGTGTTGCATCAGCAAACATAACACTTTACCAATGTTCATTGGGGACATGCGTGCATGTTCATACAAAATTTCACTGAAATCTGTGATGGTAGAGCAGGGATTCCCAGACCACATGACATGGAATGACCCTTAAACAAATTTTTGTAGTTGCCCAACTCATATATAAGTGTCACAACCTTTTGTTTTCTTCCAATATCCAATGATAAATGAACAGTGGAAGACTAGAACTAGCTATGCCAACACTAACTTAAGAGATTCCTAGAGCTTTAAACTGGTGCCCAGTAGAAGATAGAAAACAAGATAGAATAAGAGTTGGAAGGAATCTTAGAAGTCTTCTACTCCAACTCCCTGCTCAGGCAGGAAACCTGTACCATTTCAGATAAAAGGTTGTCCAGTCCTTTCTTAAAAGCCTCCAGTGTTGGAGCACTCAAAACTTCTGGGTGTTGTACCACTGATTAATTGTTCTGTCAGGAAATTTCTCCTTGTTTCTAGGTTGCTTCTCTCCTTGATTAGTTTTCATCCATTGCTTCTTGTCCTGCCTTCAGGTGCTTGGAAGAAGAGCCTGACTCCATTTTCTTTGTGGCAGCCCCTTAGATTATTGGAACATTGCAATCATGTCACCCTTAGACCTTCTCTTCATTAAATTAGACATACCCAATACCAGCAACCTAAACGTAATAAAATAGTTTCCGTTATAGTGTCGAGCTGGCAGCCCGTGGGCCGAATGCGTCACGCCCACCCCAGCTCCGCAAAGGCAAAAAAAAGTCGCGATACGCAACGATACGTTATGTGACGCGATCGAGTTTGACGTTATTAAGAGCTCCATGTTTTGATTACAATACAATTCAATACGCCTTATTTCAGACGTAAAAACGGAGAAGGGGAAGAGATTAGAAATTATTAAGCCCGATCCCCCAAACAAACGAAATCTTACCACAAAAACTTCGAGAGAAACTACCGAAGCGGGCCTTCCGCATTAGGCTTACCAGGGAATTCATAGTCCCGAAATTTGTCCCGCTCCTCTCGTTTTGAAAACGTCGACGTATCCCACAACGCAGCGGACCACGGGAGAGTTCGTTGGTCAGAACTTCGATACGTCACAAAAGATGAGGGCGGATGAAGACAGCGAAATCAATCAGTATTTTTATAGATCTATGCATAACTTCTAATTAGACTCAACAGAGAAGATCAGCTTGCGAGTTTACAGTTGAGAGATATTTGAATCACCTACTGTTATAAATTGTCATGGCTAAAAGATAAGAGAGGCTCGTAGAGTTACAATTTTCTTTTTGCCCCTCCTTCAATAAAACATGAATAAATATGTTTATGTTTTAGTTTTCCGTATCTATTCTAGTACTAAAACTTATGAGCCATCAGAAGGTTTCGTGTCTCTAGGGGGAACTTAAAGAGCAGGACGCAATTTAGGACTCCAATAGAGCTTTACAATTCAGAAAAAACGAACGCCTGAGAGAACTATTTGAAGAAAAAGCCTCTGTTACTTTGTACCCCTGCAATAAATCTCGAGGGATATTTGCTAGCTTCCGCTATTTGAGGAAAAATAAAATATATTTTCAGAGCATTCAACAAATTTATCATGTGATGGAAAGTAAGACCTATTTCTGCCGCTCAAATCCTAGTCTTTTCATTATTGTAGAGTTTAAAAACGAGTCTAGACACTGGGCATTGGGGGAGGGGGAAAAACTCAAAGACTCGGTTTTTCCCTCTTAGTGTTATCTTGTGTGCCGTTGTCCGCCCCTGGAAGAAGGGAAGGAGCTATCCAGGAGGGAGCTTTTATCCCTGAATTGAGCTTTTGCTCAGTATGACCTCCTAGTCTATGAGCTTGTGGAGGAAACTAAGATTTTCTGAGCGCCTTCCCCAAGTCTTTGCAGTGACCTGATTATGAACTATAACGGGGGAAGAAACATGGTTACAGCTGGAAATAGACTGAGAACAGTTACTGAATTAAATGGCTGGGCCAGGATGTGAACGGGGAGTGGAGAACTGCAGCATAAAGTCCGTTTTTGGCCACGGAAGTTTATTTTAGACTAGTCAGGTTGGCTTAGCCCAATGTTTCTGATAGTCTATCAATTTGTTTGCTAAGAGTTCACAATGACTTGATAGCACATAATTATGCTGGGAATTCTGAGATTTGAAATCCACGCTTCTTAAAGTTGCTGTGGTTGATAAAAACTGGCTTAGCCAAATCTACCTCCTATAAGTGTGTTCCTCAAGAAAAAGCTGGACACAATAGACCACCAAATTAGGATACAAGTCTAACAAACAAGGTAGCCTGTCTAAGCTATACTTAGATTCCACAAAAGATAACTTTTATTGTCACATTTTTCTGTGAATACACTGACACATTAAAAATTAAATTCTGATGCTTGCTCTCAAAAGAAAATAAGTATATACCTATACACAAACATGCACACACATAAATATATGCTACATATACATCAATCTATTTTGAATACATAGCGGAAAAAAGAGTCTTGAGAGTTAACAAGATTGATACTACATGATACAAAGCTATTACAGAAAATGGTAATTATAAATGCAATAGATTAAAAGAAGGCTCATAAAATGGGCATACACAATTTCTTAAATATACAATTGTTATGCAAAATGTTTTTTCATATCGCTAATAGCCCCATACTACCAGATTTTTCAGATTTCAGATTTTTATGAAATACTTTTTCAAAAGAAATATTAAAAGTTGTTTTTCCATTACTCTGTTGAGGAAGTCATACTAGCTACTCTCCTAACTAGCATAAAATTTTAGGGCAAAATTGAAGAGGATAATTCACAGGTCGGCAACCTGCGGCTCCAGAGCCACATGCGGCATTTTCAGCCTTCCCCTGTGGCTCCCTGCCATTGGCAGAGAGAGACAAAGACAGAGACACTTGCGCTTTGCTTCCCCCCCCTCTCTCTCTGTGTGTGTGTGTGTGTAAAAAAAAAGTGGCCTTACCCTGTTCCAGAGCCAACAAGCTTACTGGGCGGGGCTCCTGCCTTGGCTGCGTCTCTGCAGGAAGCAGGAAGCAGGAAGGGCAGGAGAGAGCTAGCTAGCTCAGTTATGCTGGCTTAGGAATTCTGGGAGTTGAAGTCCATGAGTCATAAAAGAGCTGAGGTTTGCCTACCCCTGAGCTTGTTGGAGAACAGCTTGAAGCCAGCTTGCCAGGTGAGCAGAAGATCCTAGAGAGGAAGAGAAAGAGAGAGGGAGAGAGAGAGAGAGGAAAGAGAGAGAGAAAGAAAGAGTGGGGGAAGAGAACTGGCAGACTAAGGGCAGAAAGAGAGAGAGGGAGGGAGAGACAGGAGAGACAGAGAGATGCTTTTGACATCTAAAATGAAGATAACACTGCATATAACCTTTATATACATACATACATACATACATATGCTAGAAAATTTGCATAAAAATACGACTCCTGGGCATATCTATGGTACAAATAAAATACGAACACCAGGAGAGTATAAATATAAAAATATACTTTACTAAAAGCTGCCAAGCTTTCGTTTGGAAACTCCAAACATCATCAGGGCTAAGGAGCCAGTAAACAATGATGACTTAAATGGGTTTTGCCGGCATCTGCACCCGGCTCATGGACCGCGTCACCGGTCCCGGCCGGTTAATTAGTGTTCCAGATGTTTCTTTATTACTCTCCTTACGCTTCCTTCTATGGTTCTTCCAGATCATTCCTTCCACTATCTCATTACTGGCATTCATCTCCTCCACCACCCCGTTATCCTTATTTCCTTCCATAGTACTGACCCTCCTCCCCTTTTTGTTTTCATTTTCCACCCTGGGGGCATCTGTTTCTCCTCTATCAGTGTTACAAGCTTCCCTGGGCTCACAGACGCTCCCCCACACACACGCTTTTCTCAATCCTTACTCCACACCCTTTCTTCTCACTCCTCCACTGTCATGAGTAACTTTCATACGGGTGTTGCATATTTGGGGGTCTATGCCCTCCCCCTCCATCCTGGCAATCTTCGTGTCGACAGTTCTCCACCGTTCCATTTGTTTGCTGCGTGATCGGGTGCTTACTCCGTCTCTCAATTGGTGGAGAACTGTCGACACGAAGATTGCCAGGATGGAGGAGGAGGGCATAGACCCCCAAATATGCAACATCCGTATGAAAGTTACTCATGACAGTGGAGGAGTCAGAAGAAAGGGTGTGGAGCAGGGATTGAGAAAAACATATGTATGGGGGAGCGTCTGTGAGCCCAGGGAAGCTTGTAACACTGATAGAGGAGAAACAGATGCCCCCAGGGTGGAAAATGAAAACAAAAAGGGGAGGAGGGTCAGTACTATGGAAGGAAATAAGGATAAAGGGGTGGTGGAGGAGATGAATGCCAGTAATGAGATAGTGGAAGGAATGATCCGGAAGAACCATAGAAGGAAGTGTAAGGAGAGTAATAAAGAAACATCTGGAACACTAATTAACCGGCCGGGACCGGTGACGCGGTCCATGAGCCGGGTGCAGATGCCGGCAAAACCCATTTAAGTCATCATTGTTTACTGGCTCCTTAGACCTGATGATGTTTGGAGTTTCCAAACGAAAGCTTGGCAGCTTTTAGTAAAGTATATTTTTATATTTATACTCTCCTGGTGTTCGTATTTTATTTGTACCATACATACATACATATATATATATATATATAGGTAAAAAAAGGATATATGCAGTGTTATTTTCATTCTAGATATCAAAAAGGTTTTGCGGCTCCCAGTGTTTTGTTTTTGGTGGGAAATGGGTCCAAGTGGCACTTTGAGTGTTTTGGGTTGCCTATGCCTGGGATAATTGATGTTTTATCTCAATTGTCATTTGGGGGTATTGGGGTATTGATGTTTTATCTCTTTTGTCATTTGGGGGTATTGGGAGATTTTCCCAGTGTTCCTCCCTCCTCTGAGCAGGGAAAAGGACCACAAGAAAACAAGATGTTTAAGGTGAGCTGCTGGAAAGGAGTTTAATTGCTCAAAAATAATATAAAGCTTGTTTTTGGGACAGCTGACAACTGACTGGCACATGAGTAAGGTTTTTATATTTCTGAGCCTTTGGTGATATGCATGCAAATAAAATCAGGAAACACGTGTGATATATGGATTTATGGTTGGAGAAATATTTTGCTTGTTATCTTCTTTATCGAGAAAAGATCTCTCTGATCAGGCATATGGTTTTTCTGTGTTGGCTTTCATGGTTAAGAAAAACATAGACCTAGGTGCTAAATTGCCATGCGTTTATATGTTGATTAGCTCCTGTACTTGGATTCTGGGCTTTATACCCTGCTGCCTTTTCAGTGTTTTAACTCATTGTTTTCCCAGCTATCATAAGGTTCTCTGAGACAATGTATTCTCCACTTATGGAAAAATTGTATTTCTCTGGCTGTTAATTAGCAGCTAGAGATTCCCTTTCCACAATCCATCTCCTCTATCAGCGATCTAAGCACCTCAGGCAGTTCAAAGAGCTTTGGGTTTATTGCCTCCCTGGCTTTTGGATACACTATAGTTCCATCTTAATGAGTTAAGAATACGTATTTTGTGAATGGAGATGGCCTTTTTCTTGGCTCTTAAATGGAATGGGGAGACAAGGTTATTTTCTGAGGGAATTTCTTCCTTCTTCTTAGGGAAGCTTTCTAATGTGTTGTATTTCCTAATAAGGGGTTTCAAAATAATTTGTACAAGGGTGTTTATGAAAGAATATGCAAGAATATGCAAGGAGTAAGAAGAATATATTCTACAGCAGTGGTTCTCAACCTTTTTAATGCCACGACCCCCAACCAGTCATAAGTCGAGGACTATTCAATCGGTCGTAAGTCGAGGACTACTCAACTGGTGCAGCACTGTTTGCAGAATGGTACTTTTGGCGGGCTCAGCAGGGCAGAGACAGCCTGGACAATTCCTATTGGCTTTTGAAAGCCAATAGAATTAGACTTTATTCAAGAGAGTCTATTCTATTGGCTTTCAAAAGCCAATAGAATATGAAAGCCAATAGAATAAAAGGGAGTAGCACAGCTAAGAAAAAGGGGGAAAAAAATGGCGGACTGCATTGCTTGGCAACTGCCATAAAATGGTCGTTCGACCCAAATGGGGTCCCGACCCACAGGTTGAGAACCACTGTTCTACAGGTTAGAACAGGTTTTTTTACCTACATCTACCACATTCCTGAGGCAGAAGCTAAGTATCAAATATTTCCCCTCTATGCTTAGAATGTTAAGAGTTGCTGACACAGTCCATTTCTTATTCCAAAGAAAAAGCATGGGGCAATCTGCTTTTTGGAAAGGTTCCATTTCTTTCCCAACAATAGTAATAAGGTGTGTTCTTGGGGGCAGCTGGCAAACTGGAGTGGCAAGGTAGTGGTTTTTTTGTGTTTTTAAGTCCTTTGTTCCTAGCATGTTGATGTGCTTGTGAGGATGTTTTTTTCTATGTTCACAAAGTTTGACAGAAATATCTAAATTGGAGTTATTTTGTTGTGCAGATATGGATGATTTTGTGTTCCTAATTTATTCTTACCTCCAGTGATCAGTTTCAGTCTATTAATTATTTTTCGGAGATTGATTTCCTACACAGTATTTTAACGGGGATCCAGTTTTATGAACGGGCAACACTGTATCTTTATGAATGAATCAGTTTCCTTAAGGTTGTTTGGTGTCTATCTTAGCGGTCAAAGGAAGACAGAAAAAGCTTGTCTGTTTTATTTTAATAGGGATTTTCTGTTTTGCTTCCTGCATGATTATCTTTAGGAAATGTTTTTAAGAGATTCCTAGGGTGGGGGGGGTTCTCTTTACACAGGAACAAACCAGCCTCAATTCTTCAATATATTCATAAATGACTTAGATGAGTGAACAGATGGGGAACTCATCAAATTTGCAGACAACACCAAACTAGCAGGAATAGCCAACACCCCAGAAAACAAACTCTGGATCCATAAAGATCTTGACAAACTTGAACAATTGGCCTGTCCAACAAAATGAGTTTCAATGTGGAGAAAAGCAAAGTTTTATATTTAGGCAGGAAAAAATCAAAGGTATAAGTACAGATTAGATGAGACCTGGCTCAAAAACAGTAACTGTGACCTTGGAGTCCTAGTGGATGATCACTTTAATATGAACCAGTAGTGTGCAGCAGAAGCAGCCAAAAAAGCTAATACAATCCTGGGTTGTATAAACAGAGGCATAGAATTGAGATCACACAAAGTATTATTATTGCTTTATAAAACTGTAGTAAGACACACCCGGAATACTGCAACTAATTTTGGTCACCATACTACAAAAAAGATGTTGAGACTTTGGAAAATTTTCAGAGAAGAGCAACTAAACAATCAAAGCCTGAAAACTAAAATATATGAAGAACAGCTGCAGGACTTGGGTTAGGCTAAAGAAAAGAAGAAACAGGTAACATGATAGCAGTATTTGAGTATTTGCCACAAAGAAGAAGGGGTCAAATTATTCTCCAAAGCACCAGAGGGCAGGAGAAAAAACAATGGTTGGAAACTGACCAAAGAGAGAAGCAACCTGGAATTAAGGAGAAACTTCCTAACAATGAGGGCAATTAACCAGTAGAACAGCTTGCCTTCAGAAATCATGGGTGTTCCATCACTGGAGGTTTTTAAGAGACTGACTTATCTGAAATGGTATGGGTTCTCCTGCTTGAGCAGGAGGCTGGACTAGAAGACCTCCAAGGTCCTTTCCAGCTTTATTCTATTCCATTCAAAATAGCTAATACTGAGACTATTAAGAAAAGCAACAGGTCCCTTTGTTTGATTTCTTTTGTCTCTGGATACAAATATGAACTCAAACAAGATAGAACTGGTACAAGTAACTAGGATGGTCCTTCCTTTATTAATATTCATTTGCCCTTTACATCTCAGAAGAAGCATTAGCCACAATGTATTGGTTTCCTCAGACACTTTGGGAATAAAGGTAGTTTTGATTTATGACAATTGAGTCTAAAATGTCCACTGCTAAGCACAAGAGTTATTAAGTGAATTGTCCCCCATTTTAAAATCTTTTTTGCCACAGTTGTTAAATGAATTATTGCTGTTGTTAAGTGACTAATCTGGCTTCCTCCAGTGACTTTGCTTGTTGGAAGCCAGCTGGTAAGGTTGCAAATGGTGATCACATGATAGTGCAACTGTTATAAATACATGCCAGTTGCCAAGCACCCAACTGGCTTTGATCATGTGACTATGGGGATGCTGAAATGGTCGTAAGTGTGAAAAAGCGGTCCTACTTTTTTCAGTGTTTTTATAACTTTGAATGGTAACTAAATAAATGGATGTAAGTTGAAGATTACTTATAGGATTGTATAATTATATCATGTGGGGTAATTATGGACACTTGAAATTGGAAACTCTTGCACTTTTGCCACCTTGTGTACCCTTTTGGCTATGATCATGCTGTTTAACTCTTACCATGCAACAATTACCTCATTCAAGCTCTCAGTGCCAGTCCTAGCATTATGCAGTGAGACATTCAGTTAACAGATGCTAGGTAAAAAGTAGCTGTGGAAGCATTTTAATTTCTCTGCTGTCTTAAGCATGGTGGAGAACATTGTCAGTGTTAAAGTGTATGGACACATGGTATTTTTCTTTATCTTGGAACAGTGCTGCTATATAAGTACATTACAAATGAACTACAAACATACATCAAGAGGTAATCAATAGTGCCATGCTACAGACTTCTATGACTTTATGACCAGTATTTACAGAAGGTATGGTCTTCCGGTAATGAGAGTTCAAATCTAAGTAGCAATAGCACTTAGATTTATATATCACTCCACAGTGCTTTACAGCCCTCTCTAAGAAGTTTAGAGTTAGCATATTACCCCCAACAATCTAAATACTCATTTTACCGACTTCAGAAGGATGGAAGGCTGAATCAACCTTGAGCCAGTGAGAATCGCACTGCCAAACTGCAGGCAGCCAGCAGTAAGCAGAAGTAGCCTGCAATAGTGCATTCTAACCACTGAGCCACCATGGATGCAGGAAACATAAATTATTCTGTTACTGCTGCTATTCCAATGAAAGCAGTACTGTGATGGAAAACTAAACACTAGACCCCTAATGAGAGGATGATTTTGATACATTTACCGTATATGCCGGCATATTAGGCGACCCGGCGTATAAGACGACCCCCGTCTTTATAGCCGGGCCGCATTCCTAGAACGTCGACTTATACGCCGGAAACTACCAGTATTTCCGGCGTATAAGACGACTCGGCGTATAAGATGACCCCCGTCTTTGGCGCCAATTTCAGCGCTCGCGGAAGTCGTCTTATACGCCGGCATTTACGGTAGATAAAATTACATGCCTAGTTTTCACTGTAAACCATCAATTATATTTTGAAATTACATGTCCCAAAATATTGACAAAATCATGCACATTTTGATGTGACCTTTTCAAGTTATTTAATATGAAAGACAAAAAGCAGTTTTTGTAACTGCTTATGCTATACACTTTATTTTGTATACACAAGTAAAAATAATTCTTCAAAATGTATTGAAATCAATTCAGAAATAATGCAAACTATGGAAGGATAATATAATTATACATACTTTTCTTTTAAACTGAAAGCCCTATTTGTGTGAGCAAACTAATCCTCAAAATGATTAACTAGCTGTGCCACAGGTATGGAGATTTTTCTGTTGAGGATGGCCCTTTTTTGTATTTTTCTGTAAAGTAAGCTCTGCAAGAAAGACTTGCAAGGAAAAATTCCTCAGTTTCAAGCTGGCTGATGTATGACATCAAATGCAGTTTTGCATATGCAAATACAATCTTGTTGCTACTTCTAATTGCTGATTACTAATCCCCCCAAAAAACAGAAAGAGAACAGAAGACATAATCACATCCAGATTGTTAAATAAAACACAAAATTAAATCGTGTAAAACATTGCCTACTACAATCTTGTTTTGCTGCCTCCTAATTTTTAAGCCTTTCTGAGTACATAGTAATTTTCTTTCTCCAAAACTATTTCATACTGAAAAACATCAAGTATTTATTTGACAAAATACAATTAAAAGATTGAAGAGTTGTATGTTAAGAGTAACTCTTAAATGTTGGAGTGAGTTTGCTATGAATTCAGCTCACAGAATTAATGTTTGGTGTGTTGTGTCTACTGAAACAAGGAACAAGTTGCTGTCATAATCTACACAATGACGATAAAGGCAATGGTGGAACAATATATAATGGGCAATAATTTATTCAGGTTACATACATAAAACAAAAATGAATTATGCTTCTGTACTTTTTCATACAATGCCAAACCTGCTTTTTTTTGTTTTTGTTTTACTGTGGGTGCTCTCCAGATGTGAAGATTTCAATTCCCTGAATTTCCTACATAATATAACTATTGCTGAGGTTTTCAGGGGTTGAAACACACATTCTGGAAGCTATCTTGGTTGCCGATTACTGAACTAAATTATTTTTCTTGTCCTCTGCTAATAAATTTAATGTTTAACTTTACATGTCTAGACTGTTTGCAATCAGACTTATTAAGCTGAAACATGCTTATATCCAAATACTTTACAGAATCACCACATTAAAAAGTGGCCAAAGGAGAAAATCACTCACATTTCTAATATGTTTAAGCCTATTGGTTTTCATCTTAAGCATTGCAAGTTCCATATTAAATGATAGCAACAATATAAAACTTTCAAAAGCTAGGGGATTTACATAAAAATAAGAAACTCCGCCGCCAAAGAGATTGCAATAAAACAGTTCAACAACTGGATATATTAAATGTGAATCACTCCTAATTATATAATAGTGGGATGCTGCTTGTGGGTTTAACCACAAAAATGTTTTAGCAAGGCTTAGTTATTTTTTGCAATAAAGCTTACTTTTCTACTAATTATCCCATTAAGTGTTATTTTTCTACCGAAGCTCAGTAGTTCAATATTAATACACTAAGAATTAGAGTCTGTAGGAAAGAAATCAATGAATAGGCAGTATGCATCTATATGTCCCTTTTATTATTATGAAAGATTGAGCCACACTTTATTTAGGAGTGAATGAGGTTTAAAACAGGTGCCTAGTAATGGATAATGTACTGTCAGCTAAACTCAAATTTCAAAGTTCTCTAAAATATATTTCCATTAAAAGCATATTAATTCTTTTTTCAATTAGGATCAAATCAGTCTTCTCTATACATAGTTCTTTACAACAACAATATGTAAAGGACCTATGAAAATCAAATATTTAGGAAATAAATACAAATATCCGCAATTTTTCACATAATATTGTTTCGAATATTCTACTTCTAGTGTAAGTATAAAGTAAACCAACATTACCACTTTAGTTTTTCTTAGCTATAATTTATCCTATTTTATTAAAAAGCATTTTATACAATGAAAACAGGGTCAATATGCAATGGAACATTATAGGATAGATGGGTTCAGGATTATGATGCAGTGGCAAAAAACAGCAGAAAAAAATAATCATTTGGAACATGGTGCAGTTTCTCCAGTCTTGATTGCTCAGCTCCTGTTTTCAGTGCAGATTTTATATTTGCCTTTCAGATCTTTTTGCAGATAGTAATAAAAGTTATTTTTTTCCACAAAAAACAGCAATATTTTTGAGCAAGCTTTAAATTTCCTTACAATGTTACAAGTTATTTTGCTGTAGGATTTCTCAGAAGAGCTCACCATCTTCCAACTGTTCAGTTCTGAATTAAGGCTTTGTATACAGTACCATTTATAAAAAGGAGACAGTGCCATGCTCAATTCATATGACCTACTAGGCTGTAAACAGTAGACCTGTTTCAGTTATTTTCATGGGCAAAATAATATCTAACTGGTGGTCCTGGCAAGTCTTCTTCACCATCTATTTCAGGAGCAAATGACACTGTGAGGTCCACATATTTCTTATTCACCACTGGCTTCACAAGTTTTTGCATCCTATGAGATATGATTGAAAAGTAAGTAACAAATACATCACAAGTGAGTTTCTTGAAGAAGAATTAGAAAACTAATTCAAGACATAATTTCTACAGATTAATAGATCTTTAAGGACATAATCAGAATCAATCTGAGAGATGTTAATAAAAATATGCTATGATTGTACAATAGCTAGGGGGCATTGTTAATATTTACTATCAATGTTTGTTTATTGACTTCTCTGACATAGGGATTCTAGCTTTCCAGAATAATTTTGCTTTTTGATAAGAAAAGGTAGTTACAAGTAGTTATCAATTTGCAATCATTCGTTTAGTGACAGTTCAAAGTTACAATGGCACTGAAGAAAATGATTTATGATCATTTCTCACATTTACGATTGCTGCAGAATCCCAATGGTCAAGTGATCAAAATTTGGATGCTCAGCAACTAGCATGAATTTATAATAGTCACACTGTCCCAGGGTCATTTGATCACAACAAAGTCATGAGAAAGATTCATTTAACAACTATATTACTAATTTAACAGCTGCAGTGATTCTGCTTGCTATGTATTTCAGCTCTTGATAAAATGATATGATTTAGGATGTGTGAGATGAGGAAAAAAGATAACTTCAAACTCTACCTTCTAGTCCTTTAATGTCCCCTGCCCTCACTTCTTTTGCCAGGCCTTTGTATGTACTAGTTCTTTGTTTTTCTCTGTCTTAAAGACTTTTAGCATCTTATATAGATTATTAAACAACATTAGAACATCCACAAAAACATTTTTAAAAAAATCCAAAAACAAAACCACAAACTGTAAAATAGAAAATAAAGATAGCATAATAAAATACAAGGTTAAAACTTAAGTAATTTGAATAAACAGGAAAGTGTTTTCTATCTGATAAATATACATCAATATGATAAATCTTCAGAGACAGTTAAAACCTACCATACAATGGAAACTAATTGAATAGAAAAAAAATACAGATGGTGAGAGTCAGAAAGAGATAACATTAAGGAAGTAAGATAACCATATAGGCAAAAATAGCTAGGTCTGAGAAAGGAAGAGGAAAGTCATAAAATAGATAAATAGTTTTTTTAAAGGAAATGGCTAGCCAGAAAGGAAGGTTGAATGGAGAACAGGAAAAGAACTTATTGTTTAAAATGGGGACATAAATATATACTGAGTTTAAAATAACCATTAACTGTCTAATTTTTCTTATTCTTATTGTATATGTGAATATGATTTAGTATGTTATCAGGAAATGTGTATAGGCGGACGGAAAGAGTGTAACCTCATACTACTTCAGCCAATGGGGAAAGAGGAGGGCTGTAGCGGCCGGTGATAGGGATGAATAAAAGAAGGAGATATTTTGGGTTAAAACTTTGGAGAGAACCAAGCTTTGATAGCTTCTCTCCCCGCTTATTGCAATAAATGAAACAAAAGGCCTTCACTGTGTCTTGGCTGGTTATTGGTCAGGCGAGCTTGCCTCTGGTCACGAAGGAAAGTAGCCTTGGGGGCTCGTCCGGGATTTGCATCTGTTCCATCTTTGGCAGCCGGGGATATTCGAAAGGGGAATGCGCATCTGGGTAAGTTTTTTCCCAGCCCTAAAGATCGGATTGCCCCTGCTCAAACAAGGAAGAATTGGAGATCCCGAGATGGAAAGCCAGGACCCAGTGAAAACCTAAGGGAAAGTCGGCCGACCTAAGGAAGGACTTCAACTCAGCCTGACAGGTAAGATACCAGAGGGGTATCTGTATATCAGAGATGTGTTAATGGGCAATAAGAGTTTGAAGAGGAGGGACGCCTCCCCGGCCAGTGTGCCAGCCAATAAGGAAAAAGAGGAAAAGTATTTACATTCTGGAATGAACCCCCTTAGGGAGATGGGAATCCCTTAGGGAGAATGTTGAAGTGTTTTAAGTCAATGCTTTAAACAAGGCATTTGCTATACCTGGCCTAAGTACATGTTTGGCCAGCCAATAAATTAAATTGGGCTTCTCAGCTTAGCTTAGAGCAATGGGGAATGGATAGGCAGTGGTTAAAGTCTATCAGAAACGCTCCTTGCATTTCCCCACTGCCTGGAGAACAAGCTACAAGTTGCCCCAAAAGAGTAAAAGTGGAGATTTAAAGTGGAAATTATATTTAATGGCCTGTGTGTTTGGGGATTGTATTGACTCATTTCTAAAGACCTGCGGGAGGGGAGGGAGAGACCCTCTAACAGTAATATACAAAACAACAAGGTCTTATTCCAAAAGGAAAATTTGGGAGATGGAGCTCATTGGCTTTGAAAAAGTTCCTTGAAAATAAGAATGATTGTTTTGCCTGGGGTGAAGCATTTGGAATTTTTTTGTGTCTGGTGTAAAAGCAAGAAAGGGTGAAGAAGGGTAGTTTCTTAGTAATTAGAAGGACAATGGAAGGTGTTAAAAGAATGGAAATAATCAGATGGAAGAGAGGGAAAGAGAGAGAGAGAGAAAGAAAGGAGCTGTGTGAAGTTTTATGCCTGGCCAGGATGAAAGGCGAGAACTCTGATCTACTATTTTGTGTGAAAGAGTTAAGTAGAAAGTTATGTATTTCTTGAGGTTCCTATAGTTTGGAAGGTAACAAGAGAGGAGAAAACCTCTCTCCAAAGGGGAGGGGGAATTGTCCCCCTTAACATCTTTTGAAATCAGGCAATCTAGGAAACTAATAGAAGATCCTATTGAAGTAGGAAAACAGGTTAGAAATTTTTTTTAGGACCAATGGAAAGCATGGGAAGGTATTAGGGTACAAATGCAAAATTAGACACAGGGAAAACTAAAACAATAGAAGATTTATTAGCGGTAAAAGAGGCTCAGAAAGTATATGTGAAGAGAGAAGAGGAGAGAGATAAACATAAGATAAGATAAAAATCATGGCTCAGATATTGCAAACAGTCCAGCAAAGAGGATGGGGAAGAGTAATTAGGAAAGGCAGGCTGGGGGTGAGGACAGCCAGTTGGCACCAGGGGATATAAATCTCTAGGAGAAAAATTTTCCCCAGTCCTTAAATAAATAAATGTGCCTTTTGTAAGGAGGAAGGACACTGGGAAAATGAGTACGGTACCTTAAGAGGAAGGAGGGGGAAGAACTAGCACATTTGGTGAATTTTGAGGATTAGGGGTGTCAGGGGACTAATCTGTTTTTTTTTGGTTCAGCTTTTTAGGAACCCCTGATAAACCTTAAAGGCTGGATCCCTGGAGGAGGAAAGACTGTACTTGGTGGATTCTGGACCACCAGATTTACCCTGAACTTTTACCTCCAGGAATGCAAATTGGGAAAGGGAAGATTAAGGATCAGGCAATTGGGGACATGTAGTAGAAGCAACAATATTTAAATCTGCTATGGTCCAGACAGTAGTAAAAGGACCTGAACTTTGTATTGGTTAAATGGCGCTGCAATTTGGCCAGGGGGTACTTAATTGGTAAATTGGGGATTGTTATTATGGGGAATGAAAGAGAAATAATTGTAAATATTATGACCTTGAGTGAGGAAGCTCAAGGAAAAGTGGACCCTCTTATATGGGCCCAAGAGGGCAATAGAAGAAGGGTACTCATGGATCCTTTAAAGGTCACTTTAAAGAACCCTGGTGAAGTAATTCACCAGATACAGTATAACATTACATTGGAAGGAAGAATGGGTTTAAAGCCCATGGCGGAAGGGCTATTGAAGGGGGGGGGGGGGAATTTTTGAGCAATCCTTTTTAAACATGTTTGGTTTGTTACTTTTTTAACCCAAGAATTTCTGCCTTGGAAAAGTAAGAGATGCAAAAAAGAAGAAGAAAAAAAAGGAGGGGGAGGCAGTTTCTGTCTGAATGTGTGTATGTGTGTTTTTAAAGAACAGAAATTGGGTAAAATTTCCTGACTGTAAGGATAATTAATCAGTGGGATAATCTTCTCCAGAAATTGTGGATGCTTCATTATTGGAGGTTTTTGGGAGGAGGTTAGAAATTGATAGGGTCTGAAATGGATAGAGTTTCCTGTTTCAGTAAGGGGTTGGATTAGAGGACCTCTAATGTCCCATCCAACTCTGATATTCTATTTTTGTATGTGTGGCATGCTTCAGTGATTTTCCTTTGCATTTTAGTTTGGATTTATCCTTAATAATGCATTTGAGGGTATTCTTGTCAAAGGAACAATCTTATGATGTTTTATTTAACATCTGATAAATATGTGTCTTTGGGACTCCTTGCTACTGCAGAAAAGATGATTAATTGCTGCATACTGTGTGTGTACAATTTGTTTTCCTTTTCCTTGGAGCCAAGGAGGGGGAGGGAAATCTTTATAGAAAACCAATTTGGTTTCAGGGTTATAGCCACAGGCTGCAAGGCTGGATTTGAGTTCAAATCCTGCTTTAACCATGAGGGTTGGCTGAGTGTTTTGGGGCTGGTTTATTTTTAGCCCTAGGAAGGAGGTATTGGCAAGCCACTTTTGTAAATGTTATGGCAATTTTCCTCCTGAGGGCTGTTTCCAGCAAAAGTTTTGTATAAATTTTTACTCTGTCTGGTTTAGTGAGTGGGGGAAGGGGGAGACAATCTTTTGTCTTCTTAGCTATCCTGGTGTTCTTTGATGTGCTGCCACAAGAGTGATTTGAATGTTATTTGCCTGAGACAAAAGACATTCCAGAAATGTTGGCCCAATGCTAATTGGTGAGCCTATGTGCTTTATCTTTTAAAATCCTGAATGTGTTATTTACAATAAGTTTATTGAGTTATATTTTTGTAACATGGTATCTAATCAGGGTGAAAGGGGGAGGAGAAAGAAAAATGTGACAATTTTTGATAGAGCTTCCATGGACAAGTGTAGTCTATCTGATACAGGACAAATGATTTTTTTCTTTCTTTTCTTTCTTCCACTTTTAAGCTGTGAAAGCAAATACATTTTTATGTAGCTTCCCAGTTTTGTAAGATTTTATTCTGGGAATTACAAAGAAATGGGAAAGCAACTTTTTGGCAGAAGAAAGGATTGAGGGTGTCTAGCAAATAAAGCCCAGTTGGTATGAAAGGAG